TCTATAAATTTCAGTTCTCAAACTAACATAGCACAAAATGAAAGGGAACAAAAACTGAATAATATTGTGATAAGTCAGATTCATGTTTATAGCAAAAAAAAAGCTCAAAAGAAAATTCATTTATACATGTGATGCTATACTAGATTGCTTGAAGCACCAAATTAATGACTATATACAGGGTGTTTCATAGGTAAAGGGAAATATTTCAATGGTAGATAGGAGTCACCAAGGTGGTTCTGAAAATAACATATTTGATAGGTCTTAGAGTTTTCATAACGGAGATACAGGGCGATTTATCGATTTCGGATAATTATTCATTCGTCTATAAGTATTGAACTACCCAGTATATTTTTCTAAAATTTGGTATGGAGCTTAAACTTGGTACGTTGAATTCATTCACCTATCGGGCGAAGAGAAAATCCAGGTTCGACTTCAGGAAACATTTACATTTATTCGAAATATTAAAATAACACACTGTATGTAATAATTGACAAAGTTCATCAATTTTTACGGCTCAGCTGCTGCATATACTCTAACTCATCTTTGAGCAGATTATTCTCACTTCTCACTGTTGAGATTTCCAATTTCATATTATCAATCTGCTTCATGGATTTCCTAACCTCAGTCATCTGCGAGTTGAATTCATCTATTTTCTCTCCGTAAAACTGAAGAGATTCGAAAAATTCATTTTGTTGTTTTTTCATCTCGGACATGTCTCCATACATGAGATCCAATTTTTCCAGCAGCTTATCTAGGACTAACTTTCGCTTCAGGTCCTGTTCCAAACATTGTTTACAGGTCCATGTCACTCCATCAGCTGTGAGTTCAAGGAACGTAGGTGGCAGTTTTACGCATTTCAAATGAAAATATTCCAGGCATTGACCTTGACTTCTGACCCCTGGATTTGTGCGGCTCACTTGCAGGGCACAAAAACTACAGTTCTCGGGCATGGTAGCAAAAAAACTAAACTTTCTTTTTATGGCCTGATTAAAGGTGTGAATACCAATTAATGTTGCACTTTACTACTGCATGTGTCGGAAATTATTCACTTAAGTCCAAATATTATTTCGCGAAACTGTAGATCACAATATTAGGATTCCACTGATATGAAACACAACTGAAAAGTTTATAGTTTTACCCACAAAATTAAACAGAATAGCGGAGCAAAGTCACGTCGACTGTTCGATGCTTTCACGATTATATGTTTGGATATTGTATTAAAACAGAATTGTGTCCAATTTAATAACACTTTTTATTCCCAAAATTCTGGGCTTGCCATGGGTAGCAATCTCTCTCTTTTATTATCAGAAATCTTCTTGATTTTCTGAACATGTTACATCCTTGCATCTTGCATATAATTCACAATGGAAATTGCAAATAATAATTCACTCCCTTTCTTAGATTTATTGATCAACATAGACAATGGCCAGTTCACTTTTTCTGTTCATCGTAAACCAACACATACTGATTCAGTCATTTCTTTTACTTCATGCCATCCGATATCACATAAATTAGCAGCTTTCAATTCTCTTTTTCATAGATTGTCCTTCTGACTTCAACAAAGAACACAATATTATCAAACAAATTGGGCACAACAATTGATATCCGACATACCTATTAGATAGAATTCTCAACAGACATCTACAGAAATCCTTAAAACAGTCTTCAGTACCGTTGAACAATCCTCGGAAAAGTTTCTTCTCAATTCCTTTTCTAGGAAAAGTCTCCAATGACATCAAAAACATTTTTCACAGACATAGCATAAATATAAAAATTTCCTTTCATACCACAGATACCATTTCAAAATCACTAGTTAATAACAAAGACAAAGTCCCTCTTCTACATAAATCAGTTGTTTATACAATTTCTTGCTCTGATATAAACTGTAATGCCTAGTATATCGGTCAGAGTGACCGTAGTATTCAAACTCGAGTCAATGAGCATGTCAAACTTATAGAAAAATTAAAAAAAAAATTGGATGAATACCACACTAAAACTTCTTTTGCCAATCATATTCTTAACTTCAACCACTCTTTCAACAGTCAGACAGATCTGGAAATTTTACATGTCTGCTGGAAAGGGAAATTATTGAATCTGTTAGAGATTTTTGAAATCAACAATTCTTTGAATAACAACAATGTCATTTCACTGAATGCACAAACCCACTATGATAACCTGAGATTTTTCAATTCTTTACATTTCACAAAATAAAATGATCATAAAAATTATTGAATTTTCTCCTGCCTTGGTCTTCGATTTTTCTATTAGGCATTCCAGAACACGTGACTTTCGACATATTTCTAATGGCCGCCTGTAGGCACACAAATATTTTTTGTCGATTTACGTACCAGCGGTATAATCTTGGGTAGATATATCAAATGATGATAAAGGCTGTTTTGAATAAAAGTGGATATTTATAATCCTTGGATCACTATAACAAAGATATTGCGACACGAAAGTATGTGTGCCTACAGTCGGCCATATTGATTTAGATGGTCTGACAGCATCTTGGATAGGTCAATTGAATTTTTGAGTTTTAACATAACCTCATAGCATAACCTGCAAACTTCTTCTTTCCTTTTACCAGTACACCGATGGTATGTCACCGCTGGGTGGACAGTCACCAACGTGTTGTCTCGTGCCACTTATCTTTTTTATTGACTTGTGACGTGTGACACATGCCGTGGTTCTTTTCGCCTGGTCAGGTGATATCCGTCGTGTGCTGGTGCAGGGCCAAATGGACACGTTTCCAATTTCATGTCGCATCCATATGTGCCATTTGATGGTCATTACGGGTTTCCCCATATAATAATTTCTTAAAACCCAAAGGAAAAATTTTGGAATGTTAAATTTGGTCACATAACCTTTTTTTATCCCCATGTAAGCACTCCTTTTCATAACTTATCGTTTGTACTGATAACTATATAATTTTAGGGCACTATTTATCTAATTTCTCATATGGCTGATGATGGACATATATATGTCCGAAACATGTACCAACCAATTCTGATGTGTTAATCACATTATATGTCGTGAAGATGACTTCGTTTATCATTTAGTATTTAATTTGATAATGTTTAAAAATTACATGAATATGAGAGCTCAGGAATATCTAAGAATAGTAATAGAGTAATGAATATGGATAATGGACCTATCCCATTTAGCCCTCTGTATAGTTAAGTAATATAACATGTGAAATCAACCAAGAATAATATTAACTTGGCGGTTATTGTCTATTCACGGTTAGGTGGACATATACTTAGTATATAAGTAGCCCACTAGGATAGAGAATTTAGTTTTAATTTTCTCCTGAAGATGCTAACATAAATAGCGAAACACGTGTAGAGGTGTAAAAAATCGGTTTGTTTAGTGGTGAAACAGTGTGTAGTGTATTATCGTGAAAAATTTTCCAGTCTTCGATATACAGGGTGTTTCATAATTAAATGTCAATATTTGAGGGGGCGATTCTTGGGCCCATTCTAAGAAGAAAGTTTCATATGACCGTATGACCTAAACGTCATAACTTTTGAGATACAGGGTGGTAAAGTTCTCAAAAATTAATAGTTTTTCATCAATATCTGTAATACCACTTCAGATATTCTAATGAAATTTGGCATACATGAACTATGTATCAAGAGGCATCAGTTAGTGTACCACATTTAATTTAATATCAATTGATATTTATTTTGAAGAGATTTTTCAAATTTAGGATGTTTTGTGTGGAATATATTCATGGTCAAAACGGTTTCCATGTCCCTATCTTAACTTTTGATTTACTATCTACTGACAGTTGAATGACACAAATACAGGGTGATCAGAATTCTGAACCACACTGTATCGTGATGCGATCGCCTTTGAATTTCAGAATAACTTTTTTAGTATAGATCAATGTAGAATGCAGATATACTTCAATAATCGAGATTCATATTACGAACATAGCCACATATCACAAATGTTCAATTGTGTACCCTATATTTGACTGTCTTCGACGAATAACCGGTTGTATGCTAATGTCCACCAAACCGCGCCACCGAAACATGAGGTCAGGGTTGATAAAATTGATAAATATACTTCTTATTTTCGTGTCATTTGGCTTCTTGATATGATATCTTCCTATGTCAATGTAAGAATTGGTCGTGAAGTTCCACATGAAACGGCTCACGTCTTTCGATAGCTTGAGGTTTTCTATTTGTTCAAGTTTGCTACATCATTTTTATCGAGAGTTATCACGTAAGGATATCCAAAACCAGGAATACTCTGATGTAAATTGTTCACAAATCAATTTCCTCTTTATTATTTATTCAATGCCCTGACAATATCGCAAACATTCCCAGGTGATGCGATCTGCTTTGCTACAGGTCTGTTAACTCCAAATTTCAATGTACTTGCTCTCAAGACACCAATCGATATTACTCAAAGACCCCAATAAGTATCATTTTGAAAATTTGAGACTTTGTCAGTCTCCAACCATACTGAATTTTGATACCATGAGAGCTGATCCAGGGGGCCACAAAAAAAATCGATGCTTCCAACTTCAACATCCTGTATCTCAAAAACGAAGCAAGTTTGTATACATGTTTGTATAAACTGTTTTCTAAAATATGACAAGGAATCGCCACTCGCAATCTGTTCGTTAGTTTGTGATGTTCGAAATCGAGAAAAAGATTGTCATCGAAAATGGACACAAAGCCAGTTTTAATGTCCTGTATCTCGATAAATTCGGGTCTGCGAAATCATTTGCAAAACATGAAAATCATTTTTTATGTTTCACATGGAATCTACAATAGATTTTTTCACAATATTAATGAAATACCCTTCATAAATAGTATCCCAGAAACGTGCATTAGATAAAAAATGAACTTGTAGGAATCTGTTTTTGAAATATTTCTGGTGCGAAAATAATCAAACTTTTCATTGACACACTATATATATTATATAAGTTATGATAATCTATTTCATAGAGAAAAAGCAACCATTAGTGATAAGAGTTGAAAGCTTACCTATGTTTTATCGATTTCTTGGAACTATACAGCTGTTTCCTTATTATCATATGAATTTCATCCTTTAATCCAGATAATGAATCAGGTGCATCTGGGCCACATGTCAAACTACATAGTATTTCAAATACTACTTTGACATCTTTCAAATCCAAGGAGTCTAATTTTTCGAGCAGTCTCATTAGATATGATGTGTGCTGTCTCAACTTTTCTGAGTCGTCCAAAAATGATGATATAATTTTCAAAACATTGCTGACTGTCTTTTTATCATTTGATCCAGTGAGTACCATGAGACTGTTGAGCATTTCGCGATGATTGACAATTTCGGTATACTCATGACTGAATAAAATTTGGAATAGGCTGGTGGCAAATTCAGTTATTGTCTGGTCATTTGAGCTTCGAAGCAAACTACAGCCTATAAGAAAAATATACCCTTTATTATTGTTAAGTTTTCTATTATACTATTATTTATTTCACGTTCCAAAATTAATTAAACAACGACTCATTTCCAACTGATTTTTTAACGCCTTCGATTCAACACCCGGGAATTCAAAAACAGTCTGATTTCACCTCACCTATTTCGACTATTGATTCAAAATAATCTTTCAATAGTTGATGTGGCAAATATTTATCAAACATTCTCTCCATTTGGCTGATTTTGAAGAATCCGGAGTGCACTCGTTTTCTGAACATGGATTCAATAATTTTCTTCTTGGGAATCATCGTAGAATGCAACATAAACAGTATAAGATAGTCAATGGCTTTGTGATCTGAGTGTGACTTGATATTGGAAATCATGTTCAGCCATGATTCTGATATAGTTTTTGTCGATAATGTGAATGATTGCAGTTTGTTGAATATCAATATTTTACAGGAGTCTTTCTCATTGCTTCTATCTGTTGACAGCATGACAGTTTCCATTGTATTTCGAATCTTCATGAGTGTTTGAACACAGTTCTGTGGATTGCAGTCTGTTAACAAGAACTGAAAGAAAAGAACAAGTAATTAGTTATCTTCATTTAATGTGAAGACCTATATCGAAAAATACACCTTACTGAAAATGAATTTCTTGGTTCTATTCACAGTACATACTTATACATGGGGTTTCTTAATGATCTGGTAATATTCAGGTGGCTGATTATTCTACCCATTTCAAGAATTGAACTTCATATGAACGTATCTCGTGAACTTTTCGTGATTGCAAAATTCAGTCTACTATGTAACTAAATCGGTATGAAAATTTCAAAATATTACATACTGTCGTTATCCAGTAATGGATGTCCTGAATGGAATACTCAGACATCAAAATTATAAGTCTGGTCTCGTTTTTCCGTTTTTCTCTAAAACGGAGCGTTCTATCGAGTATCAACAAGAGGATGTTTTTGTACATAATTGAATAGTCTTTCATAGCTTTGTTCAAAATTTGAAGATTTTCCGTCGCTGCTCACTTTTTAAGAAAAATATAAACAATAATATTCCCGTAACGGTGCCAGGTAGATAAAATCAAAATTTTTGTTTATCAGAAAATGCACCTTGATGCACAAAAGACGTGTACCAAATTCCATGAAGATGTATACAATATTGTTATTATGAAAAAGCTTAATATTTTTCAAAATTTCATCACCCTGTATCTCAGAAGTTGAGACTTTCAGGACATACGTTCATATGTAGTTTACTTCTCAAAATGAGTCAAGGAATCACCTCTTCAAATATTATAGCATGTCTTTAAGGAACACCCTGTATATGAACCAACAAAACAATACTGAAATGTGCATTGTGTTTTATAACTTGATACAAGGAAAGTAGTACGCTCATTCGATTTAAATTCTCAGTATATAACTTGAATCAATCCAAATGATATAATATATTGTGACGAAGATAAGGTGACACCGCATGGGTATCTCAGAAACGGGATGTAATACGAATTCGGTTAGGTGAATGGGAAAAAAGTTGCGCATTCCGAGGGCCACACCAACGGCCTTTGGAAAATTTCAGAATTGTTTAGTTTCTCAGTTATATCGAAACTAGTTAATTTTTCGGAAAATCTATTCTATTTTTTCTATGTTATTATAAGAGATACAGAAAAGCTAAATATACTTATCCATAGCAACTTTTGATAAGATTCAACGTGGTTATATTAATTTCTCTACGCGACGTTTTTTCAAAAATGATCCTGATGATGTGTTCACATATTCTGATAAGTACCTTTTTTATTCTGAATTTAACCATGTATCAATCAAAGTGGTTTTCGACCAATTAGTTCGATGTTTTTTTCCACTTATTTCTGATCATTCAGTGTCAAACATTGATGGACTATTTTTTTAATACTGAATAAGTGAAAATTATATTTCATAAATTATTCAATGCAGCGCTAAACAAAGATCTCTCACAATTGCTTCTAAGACATTTCTAAGCATGTATGTTTATGTCCCTTATTGGTAATTCTTCTTCTAATCAAAATTATTTGCGTGAAAAAAGTATTTTTAGTATCCCCAAAGAAAAAAAATCCAGCGGTGTTCAATCAAGCGATGGCGCCGGCCAAGGGACTATAGAATGAATTTAGTTATCAAGGTAATTCGTGTAAGAATCCATCAACATGAGACAATTTGAAACGCTGCATTGAATAATTTATGAAATATAATTTTCACTTATTCAGTATTAAAAAAATAGTCCATCAATGTTCGACACCGAATGATAAGAAATAAGTGGAACTGATGGTATTTCCTCTTTGAAATTTCTAAAAAACATTGATGGCTAAAACTAGGTCGAAACACATTCGAACCACCTTGTATAATACATGTCTGAATTGAAAATGAAATAGCTTTCAGAATCTGTGAACAGATCAACACTATATTTGAAAAATGAAGTTGATGATAATTCTACTAATACGAAACGTCGCATAGAGAAATCAATATCACCACGCTGAATCTCATCAGAAGTTGCTATGGAATAGTATTTCCAGTTTTTCTGTATTTCTTATAATAAGGTGAAAAACATATATAATTTTTCCGAAAATTCACTTTCTTCGATATTACAAAAAAATTTGAGACAATTTTGAAAATTTTCGAAAGCCGTTGGTATGATCCTCTGAATGCGCATCTTTTTCCTTATTTAACCAAATTCATATCTCTTCATATTTCCGAGATCCCCATGCTGTACAACCTTATTTTGGTCACAATATTGGTTTCATTATCTATTTTTCAACCCAGTCAACAATTTGCTTCAGTAAAGTAGTTGATCAAAAATTCACGACTATAACACTAAATTTATAGACTACGCAAGGCACCTATCATCCGATGAAATATTGAAAATTTACAGGGCTTACATTCGAATAGGGTGACACTGCACATACCGAATGGTCCATTTAAGACTATCCACCGATAACTTTCAGAAGGAATATTTCACAAAAAACTAACGAAACACGTAGATTTCATTTGGAGGAGAACACTGTTTGACGTGAACTAGATAATACTTTATCCTTCTGCTCCCCAGAGCAACCCCCTCATTAATTTGAATAGTGAATAAGGGTCATGTTATACATCATTGCAAAAGTAGATTATAGATTAAAGTTGCTCTCCAGTAGAAGGACTTTTCAATTTCTTCTCATTTCCTGAGTTCTCCCTTTAGGTGACATTTGCTTATCCCGCAAAAACACTCAGGACCCAAGAGTGCAGATGCTACACCTTTCTTTGCAAGGCGATCAGCTACCTCATTTCCTTTGATTCCTTCATGCCCTGGAACCCACATAAGTATGACTTCGTTGTAATTCCCAGTTGCATGAGTGTTTCAAAGCAGTCCCATGTAATTTTCGATGTGAAAACATATAATTTTAGGGCTTTTGGTGCGGCTTGGCTGTCTGAGCAAATATATATGTTGGCACCCCTCAGACCATTGCTCAGGCACGTTTGGGCGCATAGGTTGATGGCATGTATTTCAGCTTAGAAGATACTGGGGGAGTGACCTACGGCTTCAAATAGCCTATATCCGGATACATATACACCCGCGCCTACCCCTTCTTCCATTTTCGAACCATCGGTGTACCAAACAAGTGAGGTACGTAGTTTTTGAAAGGTATCAGATTAGTACAGATGTAGTTTTCATTGGGTATGAGATTAGTATAGAGGTCAGATCATTTATACGACGCTATAAAAGCAGATGATATTTTATCATTGCTCATGTAAGATGGAAGTAGAGGCCATGGCACCATATCATGAGCATATTTTTATATTGAAACTATCATTGGGCACCAAAGATGTGTATACGACGCTATGAAAGTTCAGGGAACTGGAGATTTTTCCCACAAACTACGTACTTAGCCCACTAGGCTGTCTTGGTTTTTCCACACAAACTACGTACCTAGCCCACTCGACTGCCAATAGGGACTAAAAAAAACAAAAACAAAAGAAAGTTAAAACAATGCCAACATATTTCTTCTTTGTGGAAAATCAAGACAGTCGAGTGAGCTAGGTACGTAGTTTGTGGGAAAAAATCAAGACAGTCGAGTAAGCTAGGTACGTAGTTTATTGGCGAAAAATAAAGACAGTCGAGTGAGCTAGGTACGTAGTTTATGGGAAACAAATCAAGACAGTCGAGTGTGCTTTATTTACTTTCTTTTGTTTTTTGTTTTGTTTTCTATTGGCAAGTGATAATCGAGGAACTTGTAAATTTTTTAGTTTTTTCATCGTATCTCCCGAACTATTGAATTCAGAGAAAAATGTTAAACGGATTTTTTGTAGATTCTATCAAAAGAAATAATTTTGGTTCTATAACATTTTCAGATATTTTCAGTTGTTTTCGAGATATTTGGAATTACTGAAAATAAAATTTTCAACACTTTTGTTCCATCTTTCAATCAACAAAAGGAAAAAATATTTCAATGTTCAGTGGAAGTCGATGAGCTTCATCTATCGATAAGACAGACAGACAGACAGACAGACAGACAGACAGACAGACAGACAGACAGACAGACAGACAGACAGACAGACAGACAGACAGACAGACAGACAGACAGACAGACAGACAGACAGACAGACAGACAGACAGACAGACAGACAGACAGACAGACAGACAGACAGACAGACAGACAGACAGACAGACAGACAGACAGACAGACAGACAGACAGACAGACAGACAGACAGACAGACAGACAGACAGACAGACAGACAGACAGACAGACAGACAGACAGACAGACAGACAGACAGACAGACAGACAGACAGACAGACAGACAGACAGACAGACAGACAGACAGACAGACAGACAGACAGACAGACAGACAGACAGACAGACAGACAGACAGACAGACAGACAGACAGACAGACAGACAGACAGACAGACAGACAGACAGACAGACAGACAGACAGACAGACAGACAGACAGACAGACAGACAGACAGACAGACAGACAGACAGACAGACAGACAGACAGACAGACAGACAGACAGACAGACAGACAGACAGACAGACAGACAGACAGACAGACAGACAGACAGACAGACAGACAGACAGACAGACAGACAGACAGACAGACAGACAGACAGACAGACAGACAGACAGACAGACAGACAGACAGACAGACAGACAGACAGACAGACAGACAGACAGACAGACAGACAGACAGACAGACAGACAGACAGACAGACAGACAGACAGACAGACAGACAGACAGACAGACAGACAGACAGACAGACAGACAGACAGACAGACAGACAGACAGACAGACAGACAGACAGACAGACAGACAGACAGACAGACAGACAGACAGACAGACAGACAGACAGACAGACAGACAGACAGACAGACAGACAGACAGACAGACAGACAGACAGACAGACAGACAGACAGACAGACAGACAGACAGACAGACAGACAGACAGACAGACAGACAGACAGACAGACAGACAGACAGACAGACAGACAGACAGACAGACAGACAGACAGACAGACAGACAGACAGACAGACAGACAGACAGACAGACAGACAGA